AGGAACTTTGATGATTTGCAGTTCTTTTTCTCCTGATTATCACAGCATTCTACTTAGAGATCGATTGTTCTGAGTTTATTATGTTTTTATAATAAATATGTTTGACTATACTTAGCTTTATTTTTGCTTTATGAGCCAAAGTTTTTTCTGATTTTAACTGAGTGATTTAATGAGCCTAGTAATACAATGTTTCCATATTTTACTCCTTTAAACAGCATGCCATTATTTAACTGATCATTAAATTTTTGGTTTCCAATCTCCACAAAATTCATTTTAAAGCTCTAAAATATTTTTTATCATTTCTTCCGAGGTCTATTCTTCTCATGCTAGGTAGTTCAAATTGTGATCTCAAAAACAATTTTATTCTATTGACACTATTTTCACAACCATTCGTAGTTTACTTGAAATGTTCTTTTGTTTTTATGGTGCTCTTACTAGATAAGAATGATCAAATAAATTATCCCAGTCCTTTACCTTTCTTTGTAAATGCTCAAGATTCATGATAATACAGTTGTAGATGTTGTTTTCAGTACTTCTTGTCTCTACATATATAAATGGGAAGGAATATCAATAGATGTGATACATTCTGAAGGTTGTTCTGTTGCCAGGATCCTGGCAACTCAAAGAGAGTGTGGTTTATGAGCAGATGGTCCTGTCGTCATATATTTATTTTGCTTTTCCACAGTAGTGAGTCATCAGTAACCACATTTGTCTTTATATTTTGTAGGACATAATTACAAACCACTCTGTACTTTAGGGAGTCTACCATTCTGTTGCCAGTTTTGCAGTGTTCCTACATCTCCTGAAGAACTTATTTCTTCTATAAGGGCTTGAATTGTTTGTTGTTTGTTTGTTTGCTTTCAGAGGGACAGAATCTATTGCTTCTATTTGTTTCTCAAATCAATTGGCTTTGGTGTTTTGTTTGTTTTCTTTTCTTTGTGGGAAGTTTGTACAGTCAGTTCTCTTTTTTATCAGGTGTCTTGTTTCATCAGCCAAACTGTAACTACTTGCTGCTCCAATTCTTTGAGTTTTGATGCAAATACATGTCTAATTATTCTTTGGTTGGTACAGAAAATTGTAGGTCATCATGGCAGGTTACTTTCAATTGAACTTCATTTTTATTTCTTTATATACCACTGGTAGAAAAGCTTATATTTAACTTGTTTCTTTCTCAGATTCTCAAATTACTTGACTAAATATATCAAATTAGATTATGTGATAGGCTTTTTACATTTCTATGGCAAATTATATTAGCAAATACCTGTTTAGTTGGTAGAATAACTATAATTACTCATTGTAATTTATACAGTTGCAAAAATGTTTTGTCTCTGTATATGAAGACTTATCATTTCATGTAAAAAAGGCTATGGTACTCAATCACTGATCATTGTTTCCTGAAACTTAGCTATTTAAGAAGCAAGCCAGATATACTTTTAATCATACTACTATATTTCTCAGCTTCAAATTTGTACTTTGCATTATAAATAATACAGTAAGCATAAACACTCTGAAGCTAATAATTTACATTGCTATATTATATCACAGGAATGTTTTATAATCTCAAACTTTCATTGATTACCTAAATACTATGTACAGAAAAGATAACTCTTATTATTGTGTCATTGATGTAACACCTTAGATTGCAATATATAATGTGAAGAGGAATTGTGTTTTATAATAACTGCTAGGTTCATAGATTCTTATGTCCATAAAACATTTAATTAATGAAACTCAAATGTGTATAAAAACAATTTGTCCTGATTTACAGACTCTTTCATTTGAAAGCAGCTGCTTAATGTTCTTCTGAAAAACACAGCTTGATTCTTTCAGTATTAACAAGCTATTATTGTGAATTATGTCCTTGATTCAATGCATAAATTCACTTAAAGTGTATCTAGAGAAGTTTATAAAATGCAAACTTAATGTTATTGTAACATATGCTGTAAGATTTTTAACAAGGGCAGTTTTGATTAAATGTGTTTATGCCTAGATCTCATAAATGTGGTTTTAGTTTCTTGTTTGTATGTGTTTTTCTGGTCATAAAAACTTGATTTTTCACTGAAAAAGTGAATGAATAATGTAAAGAGATTTTAATACAGGTAACTGATGTTGGAAAGATGATTTAGTTCTAACCCTGGGCTTATTCTTATATTGCTGAAACCAATATAACAGTAAATGAATAAGTAAATAAAAGCTGTAATAAACTCAGCAAGCAGTCAAGAAAGAAAGAAACTATATTTGTGAAAATGTGATTTATAAAATAGAATTTAAAAGTCCATAAGTTGCCTACACAGATAGTCTGGATGTGACTCTTACATAATTCTGATCGATAATTACAAAAGTACTTTCATAGTTCCTTGAATTGTTGGCATTGTGCACACACTTCTATAACTTGCTTTCATTACTTGTTCATAATAAAAAAGAGAAAGTGTTTGTGGATTTAATCCAATACATGTGGCAGGTCAGTTCTTTATTGAAGTGTCTAAATATAATAAGTATGGGTAATGTATTTTAAAACTAGCTAAGGAAATTTTGAGCAGGAGGCACAACTTGAGCCATATAGATTCTTGGACATAGACTTGTGGCCATGCCACTTAACACCAGCTTTTGTTTTTGTCCAGGTCTAGTGCTTAAGGCACCAGGCTAAAAGCCAGGAAACTGTTGAGTTCTAATCACTCCTTAGGCATGAATGTCAGCTGAGTGACTTTGGGCCAGTCCTTCTCTGTCTGCCCAACCCATCTCTCAGAGTTATTGATGTAGGGAAAATATGTATGGTCACCGCCTTCAGTTATTTATTAATAAAGGCAGGATAAAAATATGTAAATTTAAAAATATATTGAACAGAATTGGTACAATAAGTTCTTTTGCCTCCAGGCTCTCTTTTGGGACAAAACATTGCTGGCTCAGAAGTGACCACAGTTCAGTCTACTCTTTCTTATCCAACCAATTTGCTCCCTCACCATTTTTTAATTAATTTTGTAGATAATGGCTCTAAATAGTATTAAATATTAATTGTGTCATTATAGTATTAGTATACTTTTGTAATCTTTTATCAAAATTGAACTTAAAAAACTGAGAGCCCTCACTAATCTACTAACTGCAGGTCACTCTGTGACTCTTTACAATAGATATGGTGGGTGGGGAAGAAGCAACAGTTATATCTGGAATCATTTATCTTAACCTCCTTCTACAGATTTTCAACAGTATAGGTTTATGACTTTTGTCTACACACAAACACAAAAATTACAGGTAATTAATAATTCATCCCAATAAAGTATACTAGTTCAGTTTGATGATGTCTTACTTCTACTGGATATTAATTCTGCTGGAAATATGAGACTTCTGAATGGCCAACAACATGCTCATTGCTCTTAATCCTGGTCACCATTATTTAGCAATCCCGGTGTCCCTTTTATCCTCTATTCAAATTTTAAATATTATTTTCATAGATAAGCTTTATATTGGTCTTCCAGTTTCACAGCCAAAAATGCCTGGTATATTCTTCCTTCAAGATGCCTAAATATAGATGTTTTCATTTAATTTTGTCATTGTTGGATTCTCATTCATATAAATAAAACTTTTTATTTCATTGATTGATTATCTTGACACTTTTTACTCCTGGATACCATAAATATTAGGTCTTAAAAATTTGCCATATTAGTTTTGAAAGCATAATTATAAATTTCAACCATCTTATCAAATATTTTATTACCTTTGCTCTCATTATTCCCATTATGGCACTGATTGCTCACAATTTCTTGTAGGAAGTTTATTCTCTTTAAAAAAAATAAATGTAAACGTGCGCATAGATATACAAAATTCTGATAGAATTGTAACCTTTTCTCTGGAATTGTTGGATTTCATAGGTATATATTTGGGGCTTTTGAAAGACCTGCAAAACATTGTCAAGGAATTGTACTTCAATATGGGAGAGTGTATTCCATTTAGAAAAAAGACAGTTTGACTCATACCAGAAAATGAATGCAAATTATGATCAGCATCAGTACACATCAACCACATCCAAGTTTGTATTAATCACAATCTTTTCTTTCTTTGTGGTCACAGAGAGGTTGTCTTAACCTTTTTCTTCAATCAGTTTCCTTTCAAAAAATTTATTCTATTTCCAGATTTCACTCTAGCAAAAAATAACTGACACTCATAAATGTCACTATTGATTCTAATGACTTATTTACTGCATCTCTTTTTGTTGTGATCTGAAATATAATTTTGCAATATGTGCCATTATTGCCCATCATACATTTGGAGTATGCTCATGAGTTTAAGTATTGATTTTGACAATTTTCTCTTTTCTAATTTTTTAGCTTTTCTCATTGAGATGGGTTTTATGTTCCAAAACTATGGTATTAAAATGTATTCCTTTGTCTCAATAGTTTCTGGTTTCTTTATTCATCATTTCATAGTTATCAATGTCCCATTATAGATATAAGTCTATAAGTAATTGTATTACCTAAGCACACGATGGTATATCTTTTGGAAGACAGTTTTTTTTCTCCTGAAACATAAACTTCCTAATCATCTATATGTATTATGTGTATGAAGAAAAATGGATTGTTTGCCTGGAACTCTGGGACTTAATGACCCCATTGGTCATTTGTCAATTCAGTGACTCACCTTTTCAATGACTCAGCGTCTTTTCTCATAATGTGCATATTCTGGCAGGCATAGTTTCAGACTGTTGCATTGAGGGTAGTGAAATGAGGGTAAGCCACAGGAAGGAAAATGAGCAGTAGACGCACATTACACCTATGTCCTCGGTTATAGTTGCATTTTTCCTGTTGATCATGCACAAGAAAGTTGATCGTTTTTATGATCATTTAGAGAACTACAGTTATGGGAAAGCAACCATTTTCCTTAATAAGGCAACTTGAAAGAAGTACACTATATAGTTAAAAACACGGTATGAATGACAGCTCAGAGGAACTGAGTTAAATTTATTTCTTCCACTTATGGTAGGACCATTTCTGTTAATTTTATTTCAGGTTGATCGCCAATCACAGTTCATTCAGGGTTATAGAGTTATATATCGACAGACATCAGGCCTGATTTCCCCTTCTGCATGGCAGACTGTGGAAGTCAATGTTCCCACAGAACGGAGTGCTATCCTTATCAATTTGAAAAAGGGGGTTACATACGATATCAAGGTTCGTCCATATTTCAATGAATTTCAAGGGATGGACAGTGAATCAAAATCTGCACGTACCACTGAGGAAGGTAAGTAAAATTATGAAAAGAATAATTGAATGTTTGCAATTATTGAGTGTTCTCTGCTGCTGTAATATACTATACATAAAGTTTTGCACAAACAAAAACAATATTTTCTTAGCAATGTGTACAGTAGACAAAGCTGTATTTGGTTTTTCACATCAGCATTCTCTCAGTATCTATTTGCCAGTCTTTTTTTTTAAATGATAGTCAAGGAAACTTGGGTTGAGAGAACACATTTTTCTGAGTGTCCCAGAAAAATAAAACAAAATAAACAAGCAGCTTAACTAGAATAGTCAGAAGAGTAGATAAACCTCTGGTCCTGGTGACTGACCCAGATTGGATCTTGCAACATTATCCTGACACATGTATATTTGCCTTCATTCGGGGTAGATAAAATTCTTTATGAAGAAAAGCTTCAGTTATTTGTATAAAAAGTTGATTAACATACATGACTAAACAATCATTATGAAAAGTGTGGATAAACATTAACATTTATTTTGTTCCTTTCACACAATAATACAATAAGAATTACAAAAACATTTAACAATAGAATCCGGATTAATATTAAAAATATTTTAGATACTTGTATTATCTTACCAGTTTCAGTGCTACAAATATGATAATGACCACTATAATGATTAAGATTGTTTTAAAATATAGTACATATCTATTACCAAAATAAATGTATCTGGGCAGATGTTCGTTTCTAGTTAATTTTGGAGAGTGATACATGTTAAAATGATAAATGTAGAAATACTATATAAAGGTTTGGGCGTGTATGGTTAGTTTTACCTTCCTCATCTATTCTTTGGTAACCTAACACTGGGTAAGGGTTAAGGGGATATTCTGTGTTTAATTTACATAAAATATACTGTTTTGTACTAATGATCTTGTGTGAAGAAATAGCAGAGGGTAGAATAAATACTGCTCCATGGTTATTTACAGAATAATTATTAGTTTCTCACAAAAATATCAGTGTCTTTCTTTTCTTTTGTTTTATAAATATTGGTTGTCTGCTCTTTTTTTTTTTCTTACTTTTCTGCTTTGTCCAACTGTCAACTGCTTCTTCTATTTTTTTCTAAGTTGTTCTATGTTGGCTGCCTTTTTATAAGAAAGTTATCACTTAACTCTTTACTTGCATCTTAAAAGAACAGATTTTTTTTTCATCACAAAATCTATAACTACTTATAAGCAATAATATCTGGATAAAGTAGCTTGAGTGCCAATTCTTAAAATTAAAGGAGATGTCTTTGTAATCCTGATGACATCTATATGTCAGAGTACAAATAGATCCTAATCTGGATACATTCCAGATTAGGATCTATTTGTACACATACACACTCTGTATGTGTCCAGACATACCTAATCCTATACAAGAAGCAAAGAAAAAATTAATTTAACAATGATCAAACAAATTGAAGACTATAATGTTTTAAATGTGTATTTATTTTCTTCTATTTACCATATGAGCTCCTCCATTAAAAATAAAAACAAAAAAAAATTGTTATTATAAATTGTGTGTTATTTGAAGAATTGTTCCATTTTTATTGTAACTGCTATTTTCCAGATGAGTAAAGCAAGGAATCTCATATCATTGTAGAATAAATCTTTTAGGAATCTCTTGGTATATGTTACACTCTGTAGCTGTTGTGATATTAATGTAACCTTTAGCTACTCTGCTTCTGGGTGTCTCCTTCATTACCACAAAAGACTAACAAATTGTACTGTCAACAGTTAAATGTCAGGTGTTGTTTTTTTAAAAAAAAACTTGCAGTATATCTATTTGCATAGTAGCCTATTTATAAGCTTATGTGTTTTTAAAAAAGGAACAATCTTTGTTAAATAAAAAAATAGTTCTTTAATTATCTTCAATTTATATTTTCAGGCAAAACCCCAAGATTTGTATTGTAATGAATATGGTTCATTTTTCAGAAAAAAGAGCAGTGTTTTTATAAACATCTCATTTTATACTATGAGCCATGTGTTTTTTGGAAGTACTTTCAATATAAAATGTTGAATAGCAATTTTGGAGATATTTATGAAATTCTTATTATTTTAGTGCTAGAATGTACATTTTTGTCAGCAAAACAGACACCTCAAAATGCTCTTCCAATTCCAAGTGAACCAAATTTTGGAATAAATGCTTCCTCTAAAGCCTACCCTCCCTAATTATTTTAAAACAATTGGCCTCTGACCTTATGATAGTAACAAATGGAATTCTGTTTTGTTCCATCTAGAAAAGATGGGTAGTGATTTGGCTGTTGTCATATCTGGGGAAAGGAGTTGAGCAATGGAATAATTGACCTGTCAAGAAGTAGCCATGGTAATACCTACAAGTCAGTAGCAAGGGAGAAATGAGAAAAAAGTTTTAAAATAATGTTTTTCATTGAGGTCCATTTAATAACAACAACACCAGTTAAGGAAGTATTTTAATTTATAATGAGATAACTGTTATTATACTACTGTAATTGTACAGAAAAAGGCTGAACTGTTAGATATTACTTATGGATGAATACAAACAAGCATGCAAATCACATTAATTAATATGATTTGTATTCCTGTGTCTGCATCTTAACTATCTACTTTGTTTGGATAGCAGGTAGGTTAATCTTTTGTCCCAAAGTCCTTGACTATAAGGCATGCCATCTGGGGTTCTTTTATTTTTATTTCACTATTAGAGTTTTATCTAAATATCTATTTTGTACGTCTGCAAACCTTTAGGTTCTACCAAGCCTATGCAGCTGGTTTCCTTTCAACTACATAGAGCAGTGGTTCCCAATCTTTGCAGCTTGGTGGCCCGGCTGGGGGAGGGGAAGAAGGGAACTGGGTCATGCAAGTGGCAAGCTGGCGCATATATGCATGTGTACCAGCCCACCTGTCATGTGGCTTGGTTCCGAATAGGCCCTGGCCCAGTAGTGGGCCCCGGCCTGGGGGTTGGGGAGCCCTGATATAGAGAGCCATACTTCATTCTGAATTTGGAATAACAATTCTTTCAATAGTTCTCTGCAAATCCATAGCTTTAAGTTAGCTATTTTAACCACCCATTGTGTACATATCACCATGTCTCTTTTTTTCTATTTGTTCCATTTTTATAGCTCCTAGTGCCCCTCCACAATCTGTTACAGTTCTGACTGTTGGAAACCACAATAGCACCAGTATCAGTATTTCCTGGGATCCCCCTCCTCTAGATCACCAAAATGGAATCATTCAAGAATATAAGGTGAGAATAAAATGCAGGATAAAAAGAACACCTAAAATGTTATCCATTATTTCTTCAAATAGTAATAAAAACTGTGTTCTAATATCAGCAATACTAATATTCCTGTATTTCAGATATGCTTTTCCAACAATATCTCTCCCTTTTCCTTCTTCTTCCTCCTCCTCCTCCTCCCCCCTTCCTCCTCCTCCTCCTCCTCCTCCTTCTCCTCTTTCTTTTTCCTTTTTGGCATCAAAGCAAAAAGCATTTCTTCTTGCTTCTTAGTACTGGAAATTTTACCTACACAGTTAAATAATAAATGAAGGCTATACAGCAAATAGAAAAACAGCACCTTTTGGAAAATCCCTTATTTCATGGTATCCTATTGTAAAACTGTGATATTTATAGTATAGATGAGGAAATAAAATTTAAAGTTCCAGTTACCATAATGAGTTCTAAATATCTGATCATTCTTATTAACAAAGAAAGCAATGATCCTTGAGTTAAACCAGGGATTTGTACCTTTTGATAAATTTATCAAACCTGAGGGTGTCTTTTGCTAAATGGCTCTAAATGGTAATCATGTGCAGACATAACAATACATAAGAACTAGGTTAAGCAGTTTTTCTTCCATTAGTTATGTTTCAGTGTGCTTTCTGCCTATGTGTCAGCTTTAGGAAATAGGTGATTTAAGTCCACTTACTATCTCCTGGCATACCCAACAGTACATGTTCAAATATATTAAATACATTTAGTGGCAGCACAAGTTAACTTTATTAAATAAAAGATAACAATCCCCCCATATCTGTGTCTGTGTGTGTCTGCGCGTCTCTGTGTATGTGTGTCTCTGTGTATGTGTCTCTGTGTGTATTTTGGAAAGGGGTGCCTTTGAGTCAGTGTTGACTCCTGGCAACTGCAGGTTTTGGGGCATGTTTTTTTGGAAATGGTTTGCCATTGCATCCTGCCTAGGGCTGAGAGAAAGTGACTGGCCAAGGTCACCCAGCAGAAAGATATAAATGCATATAATCAGTGTGATTTGAACAGTATTATAACATAATTTTGTTACTAATTATTTTTATTAAAAAGCTGAATTTTGCCTCTATCAAAAAAACCCACCAATTTTGAGAATAATCCCTTTATATTTTATATTATGTTGTTATTTTAGAGCATGTCAGAAAATGTCTGTGCTCCAAAGGAGCCAGGTTGAGTATGGTGCAGTCCTTGAATGGCAGGAGACATGAAATGACACCCTATCTATTAGATACACCCTATCTACTATCACAATGTAAATTAATTACAGATATATTACAAGATGTGTTAGAAACCATATTAAAATAGATATAGGATAGGAATGGTTTATAGAATTGTTTTAATTATATAAAAGAATCTGCAATATGATGCCTATTATTTATGTTACATAGAATAATTTTGTTTTAAATGTATCTATTTATGATGATATTGATGTTCACCACGTCTGGTATTTTTCTCCAGAAATGCATTACGGTAATTATTACATCTTATAAATTTTACCAATGAGACTGTTGGCAGTTTACAATGTGTTACAGGTTACATAGTCTAATGCCATTTTCAGATTAGAACTAAATTGCATGTAATTTGAGGCCCAGATAAGATTATGTTGCTTGAGATTCTGGACAAACCAAATTATATGGAGAACCTCATTGGTATATTTAATTATATATGATATACATCAATCTATTCTGAAAAAAAAATGACCTAGATCTGAGATAGTGTGGACTGTCAATTACAATTTGACTTGCTTTAGGCATAAAAAAAATCTTGGTTGAACCTAAGTAGACAGTATGAGCCCTCCCCAATCCGATCTGCCTGTGAAAGGTTCCTCAATTTTAGAGGCCTCTGCCTCAAATTGTCAGAAACTGCCTTCTGGAATGTTCCTGCAGGCAGTCTGGGCCTCTGTAAGTCTCAAAATGGCCACCGGGAAGTGATTCAAAATGGCAGCCGCAGCTCTGCGCGCCAAAAACGGCCGTTGGAAGGAAGACCTGTGAGGCCTGAGGCCTAAGCTGCGATGAGCCCTCGTTCCAGAGAATCGCCTGGGCTCCTAACGCAGCGGAGGGTATTTGGATGGTCAGCTGGGAGGCGCTGAGACTGTGAGGCCTGAGGCCTAAGCTGCAATGAGCCCTCGTTCCAGAGAATCACCTGGGCTCCTAACGCAGCGGAGGATTCAAAATGGCGGCCGCAGCTGTGCGTGCCAAAAATGGCCATTGGAAGGAAGGCCTGTGAGGCCTGAGGCCTAAGCTGCGATGAGCCCTCGTTCCAGAGAATCGCCTGGGCTCCTAATGCAGCGGAGGGTGTTTGGATGGTCAGCTGGGAGGCGCTGAGACTGGCCTAGGCCCGATAAGGCCTTCAGGCCTCAGTGAAGTTTCAGAGCTTCCGGAGCTGCAGTCAGTTGTAAAAGTCAGACTAGAGCTTGGCTCTGTTAGCAGCAATTCAAGGAAGCTCTCAGAAGAGGAGAGGAAAAAAAGGGTCTATGGATGCCCAGCCTGTCAGCCCGGCTGGGCAGTCAGGTGAGGATGATTCCAATCGCTGGAAATCTTCTTTATATTATAAAATTAATTAATTAAATCAATTAAATAATGAAAAATGAGTAGTTAGAGCTAGGCTAACAGAATAAGAAAAAGGGAAAATACACAGTCTTCTGTTCCAGGAGCGAAGAAAAAACGTGTCTTAGAGCAAAGAGACTAAGTCTAAAACTGGGGTGCAGTTGGCACAGAGGGGGCGGTACTAAATTTCAGACTTAGTCTAATTGGAGCAGATAGATTAAGACAACCCATCCGTGGGTTCTCCATCCAATCATGCTGGAGAACCAACTTTCCCATCTCTCATATAGACAAATTGGTCTCTCCTCTTGGACACTCCCAGTTACTTTTCTAAGATTCCATGCTCCCCACATAGAATGGTCTTTTCCCAAGCCAGTATCGATATTCCCCTAACAGTGTGGCAGCTGATTGATATGCCAGCTTTCAACCTATGAAGATCAACTTTGCATTCTCTTGAACAGGGAGGATGAGTCACACATCCTTTTAAAGTGCCTACCATATATGCCCTGGCAATCAGAGCTAATACTTTGGCTCTTGAGTCAAATAACCTCCACTATGATGAGGAGATTAAGATATTCTTATTAAATGATCAGTGCCCAGGTGTTTTGACAACAGTAACAGCTTTTTTATTTGTACCTTCTAGAAACTGTTTGATGCTTTTAATGAAATGCTAACTGTATAGGATTTCTTTTTTTTTTTCTATGTACTTACATTTCTATGTAAGTAATGTACTGTTACTTATGCATGTATTAAATGGTGTTCTGTATTTTAAAAATTTTGGACTTGGACTTGGACCATAAATAAATATATATAAATATATAAATATATATAAATATATAAATATATATTTTATAAATAAAATATAGCAATAATAATCTAATAATATAAGACAAACATAATATATAACTTTAATGAAACTAAAACATATACTTATCACTCCTGATTCAACATAAGAAAGTTGAAGACTGTTATTTTATATTGAGGTCTGAATTGCCATGTGGTTTTTCAGCATCCTTTTTTACTGTGAAACTATTCTTCATCTGTACAGATGCTTAAACTAAGACATTTTTATTTCCTCTGAGAAAAGAATATACTGCTACAATATTATATTTGTCTATCATATTTGACAATATCACAGATCTGTTCGAGCTCAGGAAGTTCCTAATGCTGCTTTATGAACATGATTATTTTCCAATTACAAGCTTCAATATAACTTAGCAAAAAATATTTTTTTCTTTAGACTCCAACTGTCTTAGAAATCAAACTGATTGTGACTAGTTCATTGAAAAATCAAACAGAAACTATACAGTATATTCCCCTTTAATTACCTAAACACATTCAAGGTGTGCCATCAAAATTATTTTCAGTTTTCAAGACATGGTTTGTTAATTATGAACAACATTGACAGACTATGAGTCTCCTTTGTTCAGAGTGTATAGATTGAAGAATAGAAATCTTAGCCAACAAAATGAACTTTTCAGGATTTTTAAATGGGTCATGGGCTAAATATTATATACTGACAGTACCACATAGTGCAACCACAAAACTAGGTGCCTTCAGCTCCAAACCAGAATTTGAATGACTTCCTTACAGTTCTTATAATGTTATTATTATTGGTGGTGGAAATCTTAGATTTGAGGAGTAAATCTGAATTCTTCTCTGATGAATTATCTCCAATAGTTACTATTTCATAATTAAAAATAATTGAAGGTGGGTTATTTTGCATTTTCAATGCAATGGTTAAATTCGTTTTTTAAAGTACTCTATATAGGACACACATGCCCACACAAATATATATTAAAAGGAAAAAAGTAACCTTTTAAACTAATAATCTATGTATTATAGAGGAAGGGTTAAAAACCTTAGTAATAAAATGTAAAAGTACATAGCATTTAATATTTCACTATCCTGTAAGTATTATTTTAGAATACCTTAGGTGAAGATAATGTATCCTTTTAAGGTGAGGTTAATTATTATTGTGAAGATACAGCTTATAGGAATGGGTTTTATTTTGTTCTATTTTGATATCAAATCACTCTTCAGTAAATTTCAAAAACATTATTCTCTTTTGTAATACACATTAAATGCTTAAATGGGAGGAAATACAGGCTAAATCCAGATCGAAATTATTCTTATTTTCTCAGGCAGAAGTTAAATGTTTTGTCATATTTTGACAAATATCTCTGTATTCCAGATATGGTGCCTGGGTAATGAAACAAAATTTCATATCAACAAGACTGTTGATGCAGCTATTCGGTCTGTAGTTATTGGAGGCCTATATCCAGGGATTCAGTACAGAGTGGAAGTTGCAGCAAGTACTAGTGCTGGTATTGGAGTTAAAAGTGAACCACAACCTATAATAATCGGTAAGTGAATACCTGTATGCTGCTACTCCGTTTAATGTAATTACATTTCCCTATGCCTTCCATGAATCCTGGCTGAAAATATAAGATAGAGCTATGGTTGAATATTTTCTATTTATAAATATTTCTAAAACTAAAACAGAGAAATGTCTGTATTACTAAAATAAATTATAAATATCAATTATTGTGTGAAAGTAACATTGCATTATGAATTTTTCACTTCACCAGTTTAATAGATTTATAGGATAGCTAACTAAACCTTTCTCTTCTGCCTGTTTTGATTACTACATTATTTCCTTATTTGTGCTACTGGTGCCCAAGGCCATGTTTAAAGTATGTTATCTGAGCATTTGAGGTTTACTGTTTATCAATTATTCTGAGCAGATGGTCTCTTCTGTTTTCTGCCAAAACACAAGGGCTTTGAATCCAGATAAAGGGAAACACTGGTAATACCATGTCTCTCCTTTAAAGTTTTGTTTTTGTTAATCAAACTAAATTAATTTCATGACTTGAGGCAAGCCTAAAAGCTTGCCTTAGAAATGATATACAATAATGCTTAAAAGTTTGTGAGCCTATTTGAATTTTCAGTATTTCTACATAAATATGACCCAAAATGTGATCTCTTATCCACACATATCCTAAAAGTAGATTAAAAAAACAGTTAAATATATAAGTCGAAAACTTTATACCTGTTCATTTTTAATTGAGAAAAATGATCCAATGCAACATATTTTGTGTGGCAAAATTATGTGAAGCTTTGCTTTTAGTAACTGGTCTGCTCTCTCCCATCAACTTAGGCAGCAATATGTTCAAGTAATATTTTGATAACTGTTGATCAATCCTGCACATCAGTTTGGAGGCATTTTAAGAAGAGCTTCAACTCAGGATGCTTCTGGGCTTTCTTGCATGAACTACCCACTTCAATGGTTCCATAGCATTTCTTTAGGGTCATGGTCAGCACTCTGATGTGACCATTCCAAAATATTAAGTTTCGTATGCTTTAACCATTCTTTGTTTGTATGATTTGGATGGTTGGGATTGTCTTGCTACATGACCCACTTTCTCTTGAGTGTCACTTCACTAATATTTCCCTGTAGAATTTACTGGTGTAATTTAGAATTCATAGTTCCATCTATGATGGTAAGCCATTCCAATCCAAAGGCTAAAAAGTATAGGCTCAAACCATGATGATGCCACCACCATGTTTCAAAGATTGGATCTACTTCTTGTGCTGGAATGTAGTGTTTACCGTTTTAATTCAAGTCACAAAGTTCTGTTTTGGTCTCATTCTCCTTAGTATAGTCAACCAGTCAAATTGTTTAAACAAAATTCCCTGGGTAACATCTAAGAAACAACTGGCCTCTTTTGCATTAATGAATTCAAGTTCATGAAACTACTACTAGGAGAATGGCAGGGCTCCAAGAGAAAGCCATTATTCATCAAAAAGGATATTGTTACCCATCAGTTTGCAAAAGACTGGTGGGTAAGCCAGAAAACCATCGGAAGAAAATCCTCACCATGTCACTGGCTAGTTTGAAGGAAGAGGCATGAAAGTTTGGCAAATATTGCAAACATTTTAGCATTTCTCACTGAAAGTACTGGGTATAGCAGAGGAATTTACAAACTATTTTAGATCTTTCAACCCCAAATTTACATGGCTTAGGAAACAGAAAGACTGGTAAATGTGGAAATCTTTTTTCTAGAAGAAATGTGACAGGAAATATGGAGGGTTATAAATAGATAACAGTTGAATTCCATGAATAAAATAATAACAGTAGGATCTTAATCTGTAAGCATTTAGAAGCATTAGACTATTAAAGTAGATGTCAAACATGACAAACAGTAGCATTTATTCTTAATAGGACAAAATAGACCTATTCAAAGTAACAATCAAGGTGGAAAAAAGTGAGAATATATTTTCTTTAAATAAGATGAGAATACTGCCTATGTCTTTCTTATAAGGATCTTTCTCTCCCCATAACAATTGTGCAGATTCCTATTGTTGGTGTAATAATTGAAGAAACAGCTGTAAATTTTCACAATTATAAGTACAATAAAACTTGATGTGTCTAATTAATTTTTGGTCCAGCAAATTAGTTTTATTTTTCATTACTGTCCAATGGGAGGAAAACATATTTCATTATATTGTTTCTGCAGAAATAATGAAGCATTACAGGTCAGATACATCCCTCATCTGTATTCTAATTAGCTAACCTGACAATACTGGTTCAAAAACACCTGGAGTATATGAAGTAATTTAGTGATACTTGATTTCACTGTTTTCTCATTTTTTCATGCACATAGATCTATATTTTATGTTTGTGATTAAATCTAACAAAAACTAATTCTAAATTAATATGTTTTTTTCTCCAAAACCAAACACATTAATATTGTTGAACTTAATTGGACATATGTATCCATGTTCACTTATTTTCATCCTCTAAAATCACAGAGCAATGTTATTCTGTCATTTAAATAAATATCTACTTTTTGTGCATGTAATGGCAAGGCCCCAAAGGATAGCGCAGTCTTACAGACTACTAAATTAAAAGTACATTGATATAATTGGGAATCTATCCTTCCTAGGGATATGTCATAAACTTTAGAGCTTTCTGAAAATTGCCTTGAGAATTCTCTACCTATTCAGCCCTTTTAAAAGCAGAGGATTCTGAATTTGCAGATGGTAGAGTTAATAAAGTGACTTTGAAAAATAGATGTAGACCATTTTTTTAAAAAAAAGTAACTAAAAATAAAATTTATATTATTTTTAAATATAGTCACTGGTCAACAAGCTGACAGAAGAATATATCTTGCAATATACATACATTTTATATACATACAGCTATACATTGTTTCTCACTTCTACCCTTCTGCCATTCTGAGTTCAAGAATTTCCTTTTCTCTTACATAGTACAGATATCTAGAGTTAGTGCATCACTAAAAGGTTCGGAAACAGCTCAACAGCTTTACAGTAGTAAATTATTATTTGAAAGCCCATGGCAGTGATGGTGAACCTTTTAGAGACCGAGTGCCCAAATTGCAACCCAAAACCCACTTATGCATCATCGGGTGCCAGGTGGGTGTGACTCATTGGGTAGGTGTTGTCCATTGGGTGGGTGTGGCTGTGGTGGTAACAGCAGACTGGTGGGACTAAAAAGTTCACTCAATCAATTCCAACTTTGCAAGATCTTTTTTCTTCCCGTGAGAAGTTGAAATTGACTGATTGATTGATAAAATAACATGCCCACACTCGTGCCAGAGGTTTGCCACCACTGGTCTATGGGATCCAAGTAGTACTAAAGCCATTTAATTTGAGATACATTGTTATTTAGATTTCAGACTTGGAAATCACCAAGTATTTTTCATTTAAAAAGTGATTTTTACATCTTACTTGTAAGATTTAGCCATAGGGTCCTCATTTAAAATGCTTACCATAATATATTTGTTTTTGAAGTATGAGCTAGAAAGTAGAAAGCCATCATACTTTTCATTAACCTGAATATTCATTAGAAAAAAAATACTTAAAGTATTTCATATTTATCTACCTATCCCAAAAATCAAATTCCATATCTTTAAAATGATACATTTATGCCTTTTTTCAAAATACAGAATTAATTTGTACAGGAAATGGCTTATTTGGGGATTAGACAACTTAATGATTACAAAATTGACCATATTCAGTGGCAGACTGGAAAGAAGCCTAATTTTGCTGAGCCATTCGAACAGCAAATTAATCCTATTAACCAAAATGGAGCCTATATACATTGTAATTTACTTGCTAATGACTTTTAGACTGGGTGTTCATTATATGAACATTTTTTCCAGTAAATGGGAAGAAATGAGTCATTTCTAGAGATTTTGTGATTTCCAAAACAAGATAAATAAAACTGTACTTTGTAATAGATATTATTTATGTTATTCATTATAAAAACAGTTATATAAGATTACTAAATTATAGTTTAGATGAATAAATTAGTCTTAAATTTTAAATGTATGCAATTACAATAATATAAAAATTTTATATATTCTGTTTTTATTTATGAAATAAAAAACTAATAAATCAATATGTGGAGGAATAAATGTTGGTATTCCATCTATGCATATATATCACCCAACAATAGATATGGGTGATTATAATAGATAGTAGATACCAGTAATCAGCGAAATTATTGTTTAGTGGATTGCCACACAATTTCTACAACATACCGAGTTTCAGACACTATATATAGTACTGTATCAATTTATCTAGTTATCTACATAAATCTCACGCATGAAGAAAATATAATACATAAAATAAAAATAAAACCATATAGCCAAATATTATAAAACTGCCATTTACTTAGCTAGTAGATAGGTTATGTCATATACCTGGGCACCAGGCTCAGGCCCAGTATCAAGTTTTCAAGCCAACAGGATAATGGCTAGTTTAATGTGAGAGGGAGTGATGTTTCTCTGGGCCCCATCAGCCAATATTCTTTAACTGGTGGTTAAGCAAGCACCTCTTGCTGGATCAGGTAGGACAAATAAAACCAACTAAGGAGAAATAATTCCATAAGTAATGTGGTCTAAAGCCACAAAAGGTTTTAGAAGTTATTACTGTACCTTGAATTGAACCTGAAAGCCTACTTGAAGCCTATGCAGCTCACAAAACAGTGGTATCTTATACACTAAATAACAGCACCATTAACAGTCTATGCTGCTGCATTCTGCACCAGCTGAAGCTTAAATAGCCTTAAAGGGCTGCCCCTATAGAGTGTATTGTGGTAATCCAATCTAGAGGTTATGAGCAAAAGAGGTGACTGTGAGCAGGGATCCCAGTTCAGGAACATTTCATAAACATGATCTCTGCTTTGCTCATAGTAGATAAACTAGGTACAAAGTGTGTTTGCATTACTATAAGATGGATTTTTTAAATACCCTAAACACTTTATTTCAATATTATTCAGCTGAATGGCTTTGGTCCAATTACTCTTTTAGCCCAGTCCATCTCACAGGTTTGCTGTTGTGGGGAAAATAGGAGGAGGAATGAATATTATATATGTTTGCCATTTTAAGTTACTTAGAAGTAATAAAGCAAATGAAAATCTAAGAAATAAATAAATTCATAAAAGTGCTTCTTCACAGTGTCCAAGTTGCAAAATAAAATTAGTGGTTATTTTAGTAAGAATTTCACTGTTATGTAACTTATATGAATGAATAAGAGCCGAGGTGGTGCAGCAGTTAGAGTGCAGTACTGCAGGCCACTTTAGCTGACTGTGTTCAGCAGGTCAGCGGTTCAAATCTCACCGGCTCAAGGTTGACTCAGCCTTCCATCCTTCCGGGGTAGGTAAAATGAGGACCCAGATTGTTGGGGGCAATGTAAATATATATATACATTGCTTACTGGTGTACACCGCTTAGGGAGTGCTTGCACTTAAAGCAGTATATAAGTCTCATAAATAAATAAATAAATAAATACCTTTAAATATCTTCAGAAGGAAAACATAGTTAAATTGTTTTCCATCTTTGTTTTTAGTTAGGTGGAAGCTTTTCTTTTTTCTTTTTCTAATAATCTGTTTTGGTCACTAAAATTTGTTTTAGTGAGAATTCTATAGAAACTTCTTATATATTTGACAGTATTTATAAACCACCCCTATTTTTGCAGATTTTAGCAGATACTTATGTCAAACAACAGGCTACAACAGGGAAATTTAGAATAAAAGAATGTAAAACAGCCATAAATCAAAATATCAATGAATGACTGCAATTGGAACTTGAATTCCAATTAAGTCACAAAATTGAGTATGTCTTTACATTTCAGGTTCCCCTTACTCAGAACAAAGGAAAATTAATAATTAAATTTATATCCCGCCTTTTCCCTAGGAATTCAAGACTATACATAACATTCTGTCTTCCATTTTTTTTTTATCAACAATAGCTACCATGAGGAGCTAAAAAAAATAGCAGCTGAAGTGGAACCAGCACCACGGTTTTCTACTTTTAGGTCAACTCATTAATTCCACACTGTGTCAGTTTTCTAACTTGATTTGGATCTTTCAGTCATACAAGTTCCAGTGCCCTAGAACTCGAACGGAAGTTATTTCTTTCCCCGTGAGAATTAGGAGGGAAGCATAAACTTGAAGGATTTCTTCTTTGTGTTCGTTGATTAACATTGGTCATGAACGTTGACTCTAAAAAACCACACTTCAAAATTAACAATGTCTCATGAGAAAAGAGACCATTGAGATTTTTAGTTTGGAATGAAGGAAGAGAGGGCTATGAAATAATGGATAGCATAGAGAATGAGAAGAACTTTTTCACAACCTTAGAACTTAAATTCTACTGGAATTAAATGGCAGATACATACCAACAGGAGAAAACTCTTTTTCACACAGCACATAGTTAAATTATTGCAGATACTTTGAATTATTGTAAAAAAGAATGGATAAGTTAATGGGCCATCAGCTTATCAATAGCTATTACTGTTAAAGACCATTGACTGTATCAAGGCATTCTGCCTTTAATATTTGTTGCTGCAAAGCACTGCAGATTATGCTGATTTGTAACCTTCCCAAATGTTTCCAGTTATCTACTATGTGACACAGAATGTAATATTCCATGGGCCTAGAGCTGCTTTTGTAGGGCTGTTTTGAGATTTTGGACACCTTCCAAAAACTGATTAAAGTTGCTTTTTTAAGAACCAGTTGTTGATTATTCTATTATAAAACATTTTTAGACTTTATTTATCTTGCCATATCTGTTATGGCATAAATATTCTGCTATTATATGTTATTATTATTTTATTTATTTATTTAGTTCAATTATTTATGTTATCCAGGAGGGCGTAATGAAGTCATCATCACTGAAAACAACAATAGCATAACAGAACAAATTACGGATGTTGTCAAGCAACCTGCCTTTATTGCTGGAATTGGTGGTGCTTGCTGGGTTATACTCATGGGTTTCAGTATCTGGCTCTATTGGCGCAGAAAGAAGAGAAAGGGCCTTAGCAATTATGCAGGTAAGAACAAGAATTGAGTTTAAAATAAATATTCAGCTAGAATATATCTAGTTCACAGAATAAGGAGTTGAGCAGATTGAACATTGTTTGTTATGCTGTGAAAGAACAAGAATATGAAAAGCTTTAAGTGCATTGCTCTGTATCACATTTCATCATTGCTACCAGAAAGCTGTCTAATATTCACATAACAAGTACATCTGATATAAGAAGCCCAAGAATTTTAGATGCACCTTTTCCCTAAGTGAAAGAGAAATTCAGCAATTTTATTTTATTTTATTTGCAAAAGTAAAGAAGTATATAAATAAAGTGGAATTGATAAGTTCAGGTTAGTAAAGATCAACTCGTTATATCATTATTTTCAATCATGTAATCATGACCAAATTAACTGAGATGGAGGCCAGTACGTTCTAATTACATGATTTCACTTTCTCCCATAAATGGATAAAAGAGAATCAGTCCATTAAAATCCTGTCCTATTTTGCTGTTTACTAAGTAATTAAACAAATGATTGCTGAGTTAGCTTTGTTTGATAATACTGGATACATTGTAAGTAAACATTCTACTTATCTTTTATAAAACAGAACAGTATAAAACACTGGGGGCAATCAAGTGAAAGCATGACATATTTTCTATTTATGAAAGAAATAGAAATGCATAAGGATAAATTTTGGAATCTCCTCTTGTGTTTTTCTATTGTTTTCAATCACATAAGGTTTTGTTTCCATGGTCTGAAAGCAATATAAAAATGTCCAAAATGTGCACCTTAGAAATTTGATTTATATTAAAACACTTTTTTATAATCTGTGGTCATCAACTTAATCAACTTAGTTCACAATTGAACTGAATTCAGTATAAAGCAAAAGACTGTTAATATCCTTCATGCTGCCTTCTGTATTAAAACTGGTGTGAAACAAGAATATTTTGAAGAAAAATATTATTCATGTTCTATTTGAATTCATTGAAACTCTGACTATGTGATATTCAAATCAGATTTTGACTCTGGCTATTTTTTTCTTAATGATTACATACATTGAATATTTATGGTTATAATTTTAAAAGCAATGTTTGGTTTGCAGATTTTTATTTTCTTCTTTTCCTTATAATGCATATAGCTCTTTCAACTTTCTCTATTTTTAAGGAAGTAGTTAAATTTTGTTCAGAAGTTATATCATTAAGCTCAATGGCACTACAGGTAGCATTGTTTCATTATCTAGAATGATTAGATAACAATTCTTTACATATTTAAGGGAGGGGTGATAGATTTTCTGCTCTATTTAGATTTTCAGAAACATCAGATGTGCTAAATACAGTACATATTTCCTCAAATCTCATTAATTAATTGTTTGACATCTCATGTATAAGAGCATGTTTCTATAAATAGTTTTGTAACATCTAACAATTTGTAGTTTACCATATGTGCAATATATACACACAGAATAAATATCTCTTAAAAGTATGTAAAATTTTGGTTAATTGCTGGCAACCATATACTTTTTAGTCAGCATAAAAGCATTATAAAAACATAACACTCATATAATTTCTCTTCTAATATTTATGTATATGGTATTAACTCTTGTAACACTTTTAAGTGTGTCATATTCTACACACTTGTGTATTTATTGTTAAATGTTGCATTTGCCTGATAATGAAAATTCATAATCAATTACATTTGAAAGAAAAACATAGCATCTATATGTCGGCTTGCATGTCCATGTAACTATTTCATATAAATATAAAAAACCCCATGCATTTATGTTCAATCCTTTATCATGGGCTGCTGCTAATGCTTAAATGTGAATTGCTATAATTTGAGCCTGATTTTAATAAAACAAAATTTATTTTTGAAAGACAGCCATGCCCTGTAATTGGCATTGCTTAAGAGTTTTATAACTCACAATGTATTTACTTTTCTTGTTTTGCAGTCCAGTCCTTCACCTTCACCCCTGCAGGTACTGTCCATTAGTTCTCTCTTTCCCCCAGCACCATACAAATGAATCCATTATAAATATTTATAAAAAGAATTAAAAACTCATGTGGAAGAATCAGCATTCTTTTTATGTCATATTAATGTGGTATTGTACCAGCGGTTCTAAAAGAATGATATATTATAATATTAATCTATCTATCCTTAAAATTATGCTCACATTTTCAGCTTTATTAATTTTTTATTCTTAATTTTTATTGAGCATTGTTTGAAGTGAAAGAAGACAGAGTACAAACATGTTGTTGTTATGTTGTTAATTGCGAAGTCGTGTCCGACCCATCGCGACCCCATGGACAACATTCCTCCAGGTCTTCCTGTCCTCTACCATCTTCTGGAGTCCATTTAAATTCACACCTACTGCTTCAGTAACTCCATCCAGCCATCTCATTCTCTGTCGTCCCCTTCTTCTATTGCCCTCAATCTTTCCCAGCATTAGGCTCTTCTCCAGTGAATCCTTCCTTCTCATTAGGTGGCCAAAGTACTTGAGTTTCAACTTCAGGATCTGGCCTTCTAAAGAGCAGTCGGGGTTGATCTCTTCTAGGACCGACCGGTTTGAACGCCTTGCAGTCCAAGGGACTCGCAGGAGTTCTCCAGCACCACAGTTCAAAGGCCTCACTTCTTTTGCGCTCAGCCTTTCTTATGGTCCAACTTTCACAGCCATACATTGCAACTGGGAAAACCATGGCCTGGACTATACGCACTTTTGTTGGCAGGGTGATGTCTCTGCTTTTTAGTATGCTGTCTAGATTTGCCATAGCTTTCCTCCCCAGGAGCAAGCGTCTTTTAATTTCTTGGCTGCAGTCCCCATCTGAGGTGATCTTGGAGCCCAGAAAAATAAAATCTGTCACTACCTCCATTTCTTCCCATCTATTTGCCAGGAATTGAGAGGGCCGGATGCCATGATTTTGGTTTTCTTAATGTTGAGTTTCAAGCCAACTTTTGCACTCTCCTTCTTCACCCGCATCAAGAGGCTCTTTAGTTCCTCTTCACTTTCTGCCATTAGAGTGGTATCATCTGCATATCTTAGGTTGTTGATATTTCTCCCGGCAATCTTAATTCCAACTTTTGATTCATCTAGCCCTGCCTTTCTCATGATGTGCTCTGCATATAAGTTAAATAGGCAGGGTGACAGTATACAGCCTTGCCGGACTCCTTTTCCAATTTTGAACCACTCAGTGGTTCCGTGTCCAGTTCTCACTGTTGCTTCTTGACCCGCATATAGGTTTCTCAAGAGACAAATGAGATGGTCTGGTACTCCCATCTCTTTAAGAACTTGCCACAATTTGTTGTGATCCACACAATCAAAGGCTTTTGCATAGTCAATGAAGCAGAAGTAGATGTTTTTCTGGAACTCCCTAGCTTTCTCCATGATCCAGCGTATGTTGGCAATTTGATCTCTAGTTCCTCTGCCTCTTCGAAATCCTGCCTGTACTTCTGGTAGTTCTCGATCCACATACTGCTGGAGTCTAGCTTGTAGGATTTTAAGCATAACTTTACTAGCATGTGAAATGAGTGCAATGGTGCGATAGTTTGAACATTCTTTGGCATTGCCTTTCTTTGGAATTGGAATGTAAACTGACCTTTTCCAATCCTGTGGCCACTGTTGAGTTTTCCAAATTTGCTGGCAAATTGAGTGTAGCACTTTTACTGCATCGTCTTTTAAGATTTTGAATAGCTCAGCTGGAATACTGTCACCTCCACTAGCTTTGTTGTTGCTCAGATTTTCTAAGGCCCATTTCACTTCACATTCTAGGATGTCTGGTTCGAGGTCAATGACCATCTCATTGTACAAACATACAAACATACAAACTTGCAAAATTTTGAGGTAATCTATATTATATTATAGTATAATATAGATTTAATACAGATAATCTATATTATAGTTTCCTACTTTTTGTAGATTTTTTTTAGTTTAATTATATGTAGATATTATCAAAATTAACATCCTTAAATCCACATGGCAGGCAGTAACTTATTCACACACAACCCATTCTAATTTAAAATATTTATAAAATTATAAATATTACATAGATTTATGAAATCTATGTCATACGAATAAAAAATATTTGTAAAACCAGATTCAAAATTAAAATTATTAGAATTTCTTTATCATATCTAACATTTAATTAAGTGCAATAAAATTATATGAGGCAAAAATAAAGAGAACTCTTTATCTTCCATAATATATATGGTTATAAAAAGCAATAGGCATTGTTAAGTCAATAATTATGTTTTTATTAAATATTTTATGTCTCTTTCAAATAAATTTGAAGCAAGTATTCAAAACACACAAATGAATAGATACATTTTTAAAAGTTTATATTTTGCTTTTATTTTTTAAAAAGTATCAGGATGAGTTTAAAACACTTGAAATTTACAATGGAAACAGCCAAAGATACAGAATCATCAATTACACTCTATCACAGATGATAAGAGCAAACCAACATGGTCTTCAACAACTGACTCAATTGGAACTTTCTCTAAAACAAATAGGCTTTTAAAATCTTTGGGCTAAAGAACCTCATATTCCTGTGACTTTAGGAATGAACAGGATAGTATCTATAGCTTCACTTAATCATCACTTTTGAATTTATAGCCAATAAAGCTGCTATTGAATTAAAGTAACATGTATTAATGAGCATGTGCTCATCAGGGTCTGTAGCCACAATTTGAACATTAAAAGTTCTGGAAATTCTTCCTTATTTGGAGAATATGGCTTAATGACTGACTTCACTAGTTAATTCTGTATAATAATATAGAATGTATTTATAGTACATGAAAGTGAATAACATACTGTGGTTATTTGACTTGTTTTGAATCCAGTTTAATAAGGTAATAACATAAGCAGTTATTGAAATACTAATTATTTAACTTTATAAAAAACTAATTTTAAAATTGTCCTAATTCACTTATGTCCTTAACTTTTTATCAAACCACCTTTTATAACAACTTTTTCCATTTCTTCATTCTAAATTTAGCTATTAAGTTGTGTCTGATATCTCTGAGAGCTCTCTCTCTCTCTCTCCCTCCCTCCCTCCCTCCCTCTCCTTCCCCCCTCCCTCCCTCCCTCTCCTTCCCCCCCCCTCTCTCTTTCAGCTTTGATTACTCACTTACATCTGTTTTACTTGTGTCTCTTCCAAACCTCAGCAGGAGATCACAAGTGCTTACTGATAGTGCCCAAAACCTCACAGCATGTGGAGATGTCCAGTGTAAAGATGTTAACCATATAAGTCCCCATAATAATCCACAATAAATCGTGAAAACATTTGACTATCAATGCTAGGGTTTTCTGTTTGCTTGTTTGGGGAAAGAGAAATACAATTTAGAAATAAAATTAGTAGGAAAAAGTAGTATTACCTGTCATTGCAGTATTGCTTATCAGAAAACCATATGATTTCACAATGGAAAATAGACTTCTTTAAGATGGGTAAATATCAATTGTTTAAGAAATAATGTTAATCAAAAGGACAGGCTTATTTCATTGGGTCAGTTTCAAGATCTAGAATTAGTTTTCTAATTGTAGATATATTGTGTATCAAAATAAAAGTCTATCCTCAAAGTTGAATACAAATGAATTTTCAACAAGGAAAAAATCTCAGTAGGAAAACTGGATACTTAATACTATGCTGAACGTTCTAGCCCATAAAACTGAACAGTAGAAAGACCATCAAAGCCATCAATACCTGGAACATATTTGTGATACGATATATTGCTGGAATTATTAACTGCACAAAAGCTGAACTGGACAGTTTGCACTGAAAAATAAGAGAATTGATTACTATTCTCTATACATTATATTTCCATAGTGATATTGATAGATTATACCTGTCCTACAGATATGAGTGCAGAGATTTATTTCATGTCAGACAAATTTTTGGAGATGCATGCACTGGCTTAGCATATAAAAGAAGGAGAGGAAAATAGATAAAGATAAAATCTGGAAATCGGTCATAACTGGATCATTAAAAAAAGAAACTGTACACTTACTTTTGCCTGTTCAAGACCGAGCTATTCAAACTAATGCAATCAAGGTCTGAATCCAAAAATCATCAAATGATCCAAAGTGCAAATTGTTCAAATAGGCAGAAGAAACAGTAGTTCATATACTTAGTTCGTGCAAAAAGTTCACTCAAATTGATTATAAACAACAAAATAATACAGTCAACAAAATGATTCACTGGACCATCTGTAAAAAGTTTAATCTGCCAGTAATGAAAAATTGGTAGGAACTTATAGTTTAAAACGTAGTCAAAACTGAGCAAACTAAAATATTGTAGGATTTCCAAATACAAACTGATAATGTCAAGAATGAAAAACATCTATAAGGCTATTTTATTTCCTTTACATGGATAATCTGAAGCTGTATGGAAAACAACTATGTCTATCTGAAATATAGTCACTACTCAACATTGTCCATATATACATATATAGGGAAGATATTGCAACTGAGCTTGGACTAGACGAATGTGTCACACCTGCTATCTGAACTGAAAAAATCAAAATACATATGAAAATAACAGCAACAGTCTGAATAAAGACAGTCATAGAATTTTAGGGCCTTTCTAGTCTTTAAATACTGTACACAGCTGTAATAGTGGAATGGACTCAAGCAGAATTAAAAACCCTGCATAGGAAGACTAGAAAAATAATGAAATGAATCATGCTTTCTATCCATGCAAACTGGTCTATAAGAAAGACCAAATGAAGAACGGAGAAGAGACATGTCAAGACAAAGTATTACATGGCCAGTACGTTAAAAAATAAACAAGCAAACAAGATAACAAGAAGATATGCAATGGCTAAGAACAGGAATATTAAAGAAAGAGACAGGCTGATTCTGGCTGCACAAAAGCAAATCTTAAGAAATGCATGGAAAGCCAGAATTGAGAAAACAGGAACAGATAGCACGTGCTGTCTCTGCAAAGAAGCTGAAGAAACAGTGGACTATCCAGTTAGCTACTGTCT